CTCTCTCTCTCTCTCTCTCTCTCTCTCTCTCTCTCTCTCTCTCTCTCTCTCTCTCTCTCTCTGTATGTTTCTCTCTTTCTCCCCCTCACTCTTTCTATTTCTCCTAAGAAACTCCCGGAGTAAACCAATGGCAGGGCGCGAGGAAAGAGAGTGCCAAGTTGCGGGCTGGCACGGGGTCGTTTAAATGTTTAGATTCTCGCGGCGTGAAAGTCCCTCTTTTACCCTACGCGGAAAACTTCTTATCGCGCGGAAGCTGGCGCCCGCGCACATTTCGAATGCAAGGGGGGCTTTCTCACCGCGGAAAAATACCGCCTTTCCGGGCCGCCGCCGCTTACGGACGCGCAGCGCACGAACATGGGGTTTCAAGTGGTTTTAATTTCAACCACGCTAATTTTCGTGGTGGCGGGCAACGAGACCCCTTCCCTCCTCTCTCTTTCTCTCTCTCTCTCTCTCCCTCTCTCTCTCGCCTCCGACGAGGAATAATTATTTTAGATGACAGCCGACGCGATGTACGCGAAATTCGTTCTCGCGAATGATACCCGGCGCATATACGATCGACTGAAATGGAGATTCTCTCGTTATGATTATATCGACTGGATTATCAAGAACATGTTGCTCTGAATCCCGTTCTGTCCGGTATATCGCGAATATTCCCGAAACCAGCTGCGGTAATTCCGATGCGGCGGCAGTGAGATTTATTTACTTGACGTCTCTCGCCAAGAATAATTTTTGTTAATTATTCCAGACACATCCTCGAGCGGCTATTTGTTCGATACTTCCGCGGATATTTTTAAAAGTCATCCGCGAGTGTGTTAATTCCGGCTGTTACAACGCGGCCTTGCAAATATCTTGGTCGAAAAATATTAGCTTTACATTTATTGCTTTTTGCGTCAGGCTCACTGAGATTATGATGCTTTCAAACAATAGCGTCACGCGGCGCGCTGCTTTTTCATCTTGAAAATAATTCTTCGGTAAAACTTGGGCAAGAACTCTCATAACCGTCTACGTATTTACATCGCTCACAAATAAAATAATCGCTTGCTCTTTGAGAGAAAATTTCGAGGAGTCTTGCATTCAATTCTTACGTCCTACAACGATCCTGGAAAAGGATTTCATGTAAAAGAATTTTCGAACGGTATATACATAGAGAACGAATTTCCGTCAATTTTTGAAACGCGCTTCTATTAATAATCGCCACCAAAATTTTTTGCACAAATCGATTCTTTAAGTGTTTAATGAAGGCTTAAAATTTCGCTCATTCTGTTTACTTTGGGTACAAGGAAAGTGACTAATGTACAGTGATGGACAGAATGGTTACACTTTCTTTTTAAATGAGTTTAGGAACGTGCATTTAGATTCATGGTTACGTTCCACAATCTTCTCCGAGGAATATTTTACTCGATGATCGTTCTGAAACCACTTCGAGCGTTTTCGATCTATTTCTCGAGTGAAATATTCCCGGGAGAAGAAGATTTTGCAACGTAATCCTGAATCCAAATACGCCTTCCTAAACTCATTAAAAAAGTGTCGCAACCATTCTGTCCATCACTGTACAGCGACTCCGAAACCATATTGAGTGTTTTCGATCTATTTCTCGAGTAACAGTTTCCTCAGAGAAAATGTTTTGAAACGTAAACCTGATTCTAAATGCGTGTTCCTAAACTCATTAAAAAATTGCCACAACCGTTCTGTCCGTCACTGCACTACTAATCCCGCAACAACGCTTTACAGAGAACTTTACTGTGAATTAACGGCACTAAATTATCTCGCTAATAAACAATCCCGTCGCACTTCCGTCGTCATATAATGCTGTTGTTTCATAAAACATTTTTCTCCCCGCTCGAAAACTCCCGGGGGTGCAACGCACCTGCTTGACGGTGTTCAATGCTTTGAGTCGAGTTTTCGCGAGTGCGAGTTTTCTGCAACGAGCGCGTACGTGCCCGTAAGCTCAAAGCGTGCTGCTGGCGGTACGGTGCACCGTTTTACGGGGAAATCCGTACGTTGCGCGTCGTTTTGCAGCTGTGCGCCGCTGTTCTTTCAGATTCGAGTGAACCGGCGGCGACGGCGGCACGAGAGACCGAGGGGAATATACGCGCAACGAGATGCCGGCTTTCGCACCGTTCGCGCCGCATCCTGGGAGATACGTCATCCCGCGAGAGCGACGACTACGTTCGTGGGAGCACTCGGCGGTTTTACACTTTTCCACTAAATCAGCCGTTAACGTCCCTGCGGATGCGCCGCGCGCTCCGATCTACGATCGATAAGCGCCCGCGAGAAGTGTCTCAATTCGACCGTCGTGATTTTCCCGTTGACGCCGAACGCCCCGCGGAAGAGGGTAAGAGTGGAAGAGAGGGAGAGGGGGAGAGAAAGAGAGAGAAAGAGAGAAAGAGAGAAGAAGATCCCGCGCGATGTGCGTGACGGGGAAGACGTACGAGCGAGGAATGGATGGGAAAAGTACGTTCGAATCTTAGCCCGGCTCTGCCCCGTAAATAGCGTTTTGTAACCCCCGTCACGTGAAATCGATATCCCTTAAGAGCCGGTCCGTGAGGTCGTTCGTCAGACCGGTGCCCGCCTGTTTCACCCCCGTGGAAGCGGAAGAGCGAGTGCGCGCTAGTCCGCGGGGAGTCCCCGCGGGTGGAGGCGGAGGAACCGGCAGCGGGATTCGCGGGGTTGGCTGAATAAAAGAGGAAGATGCAGAGGAAAAGGCCGGCGTTCCTCACCGACATGGGACTGCTAATGTTCTTAGCGGTAACAGCCTCCCTGCTGGGTTACTGCCAAACGGACGAAAAAGGTAAGACGCCGCGCGTCGCGACTCGCGACCTCCCTTTGCCTTCGCCATCTCCCCCTTCCCCCCCCTCCTTGCCTCTCGCGCCGCGGCTGCGGAGGCAGCGTCGAAAGAATTACGAATCTCGCTTTCCGCATCGTCCGCGACTCGGAGGGCGCGAAGGGGCGAGAATAGCGCGCCGTGCGCGAGAAAGAGCGGCGAAGATTAACTTTTATGGCCGCCGGCATGAGTAGTTGCCGCGAATTTACTTATAGCGGGAGCGGTTTAATGGTCGCCGCGCGCATACATCGGCCGGGCGCTTTTAATAGTGCGCGAGACTATAGCGCGTTGCACCCGGCGCCGCGCCGCGCGCCGTCCCTTCGTAAACACCCCCGCGCACGAACGATTATATCGGGCACTGCACGCGCGCGCGCGCGCGCGCGTCTCTTAACCCTTGATCCGCGAATAGTCGAGCGGATAGTCGACAGTCATCGCTCTTCCGATAATTCCAATCGCAGGAATTTCTAGAGTAAGGGAGGAAGCGCCTCGATATCGAGTACAATAGTGAGAAAAAAGTTGAGTCGATCAAAGTTATAAATATCGATGGTAATTGCGAATCTGATGTCGAAAGGTATAAAGAACATCCTTAATTGATTTACTTTGAACCGACATTCTCAATGATTCTTTTTAATCAGCTTGAATTTTGACCTTACCAGACTTTTATTTAATTTCACAGAAATGATCTCTTTACCAAAATTTTTTTCATCGACACTGGAATTTCTAAGAGAGTCCACATCTGTCTCTTCAAATCTAGCAAATGTTTCAGTAGAAGTCAATAAAAATTTAGCAGATTCAAAGAAACGTGATGTCAAACGAATCTCATTTGATTAACTAAATCTCTTTTCTGGCTGTGGCCCTCTCTCTCTCTCGTTATTAAAAGGAAACCGAATTTCTTCGTATAGCAACACATACGCGGTTGAAAATCGCGTAAAGTCTGCCGGTATGAAAAAGAAAAGCCCGGATACTATAATGTTCTAACAAGATGCTCGTTTCTGTGTGATTTTAGTTTCGCTTTTCCGCGTAAACGGAATGACTGTTAAATTTGCCGCGTAAAAAAGACAAAACCGGGTATAAAAAGTGTCGCGTAAATCGAGGGATAAGTGTAGTTTAGTTCTTTAATTCAACATTTTTGATGTTTTCCGGTAACTTTAAGATTAACTCGAATATGCCGCTTCTCTGCTCTCCTCCTCTCTTTATTATCCCAAAGTTTCGCGCATACTATTAAATATTTGCATTATGTCCTTCGTTATACCGGGGCGCGAGACATTTTATGCGAGAAATAGTCGGTTATGCGACTATATGCTGGAAGCAGGGAAATATTATTTTGTAATTTTGCGAAATAAATTATTTAAATTTCTTCGACATTATCCACGCACACTTATTAAAACTTGTTACAAATAGACCGCACTCTGGGAAAAAAAAGGACAGTTAGCAACCCATTTTGGGGCCCATAATTAGTAATCGAATTATTTGGATTGTTCCTAACTATTTTACGAATTTCACCCCGCGTAACTAAAAATCGCAATTAGCTATTCTATCTATCCAAGATTTTTAAGTAATACTAATCAATTCTCTCAATTGGTTCTATCGATATTCAATAACGCAAAGATAACTTTCACTTAAGAGGCACTAACCGAAATGTTAAGTTGCCTAACTACAAAAAGAACTATCTTTATTTACTTTCTTCCTATCCTTGTTCTCGTATCTCCTTCTTCTTCTCCTCTGCTTTTTTAGTTTTTTCTATCCATAATTTCCAAAGTACTTTTCTTTATCTTTTTCTTCCCAGAGTATCCTCGCAGAAAGGAGACACGATGAGGGGAGCTAACAAGAGTTGATAACGTGAAACGTAATGCATTTTATCGGTTGCGAGGCATCAAAAATATGATAATAAGGTCATAATTAAAAATAAATTTTTTTAACATTTCGCAATACAGCGCGCGGGCGCGCGATCCCGCCGTCCGAGGCCGGGCAAACGGGGAAGAACGGAGGCGAACGTTTTCAGACTCGCTAATTAAATTTGCCCAATTTGCAATAATCGAACGCGGAAATCACGTTGAAGTAATAACTTGCTACTAAATCATACGCCGCTGCAATACATATCGGAGTGCACTCGTGTACGCTTTACCGGTGTGTCCGTTATCGTTGCGATGTACATCGGGCTTAGCGTTTCGTCCGAATAAACCAGATAATCGAAACATGTAATCCATGCGCCATTAGTTTTTACGGAACCCGTCCTTTCCGGGCGCTGTTGGCCTTAGCAGATCGATCTGAATTTAACAAGCGGTCAGATCGCGATATACTCATGCGTGCGGTGCAAGTTCAAACGGAAAATTGTTAACGTTCGTGCCCCCGTCGAATTCTAAAAAAAAAAAGAGGAAAACAGAGGCTTGGCCGGCGTGCTTGCAACAATCAATACATCGTGTCGCGTATTTCCGCACCAATAAAATCTGTATACCCGACACATCCGCTCGCGCGTTAATGCATGTTGCAAAACACTCGAGGATTTTTGTCAGTTGGTCGTTACGTGTACGCGCGCGCGGCCTCGAGACGATCGAGACCAGACGTTTCGCGGTTTGCCCGCGCGTAATCAAACGTGAAAGTCCGGCCGGACAATTGCCACGAAATGTGTAACGGGCGAATTACGCGTGTGCACCGCGACGGCCAAGAAACGCAATTGCCGGTGTATGTACATCGCGCGTTATTCACGGCCGATGCCAGCGCGAAATTGTATTTTTCGCGGGACGTATGCCCCGAAACAAAATGAGTTCGCGATACCCACGGCTCGCTAATCAGTTTTCCCCGTTTGTCGGATTAATCTACGTGGCGCGTGCGAGACGTCGCATCGCGCCGCGTCGCGCATGGCATATCGCACATTTTGCCTTTACACGTACCGGCGGTTCCGACTGGATACATATTTTTGCGAAAATCATGCACATCGAGGGAGAATGAGGGGGAGGGGAGAGAGAGAGAGAGAGGGGGGGGGGGAGAGAGAGAGAAATTCAGTGTTACGCGTCGCATCGACCGTGTATTTTTTGCGTGTCGGTCATGCGGTTTATATCGCGCGAAGGTGCGCTAAAAGAGAGTACGCTGTAAAGCAATAAAATATTTTCGCAATAATGAGATGAAGATCAATAAAAGTTTGAGCGCCATTGCAAGTTCACTCAGTTACGGCGACCACGTAACGTCGTTAAAAGTTAAAAAAAAACCCCTATAACTTGATCCATTTCGGACTTTCACTTTAATGACAAACAATTCTGGACTACGATTGATTTTTAAACGTTTAGGCCCGATTTCACCGACGTCGCTTAACTTTAAGCGACGCTAGGCTGCGCTTCCCGTCTACTGACCTCGCTGACATACTCGTACAAACGCGCACGAAAAATTTTCAATGCAAATTTCTCGCGAATACGTGAATATTGCACCGTAACACGTGCACATGAAGTAGTTGGGGATTGATACTACAACACATATAAAGTTGGAGAAAATCGGTGACGCAACTACCTGACACTCCCCTTGTTAGCTTAATTCGTTCTTTGTCTCTTTCCAACTGTCACTCTAGAAAGAGACAAACATTAATTAAACTAAGATTAAAGTTAAGCGACGTTTGGTGAAACCGGGCCTTAGAGGGACAAAAATCATGAACGCATTCCCGTCGCCGCCGCTGGTAGTTTTTATCCGCATTATTCCCGCAACACAGGCAATTTGGTGCAATTGAGTATCGATGGCTAATTGAGAACGATCGCATCGTAAATGGCTAATTTTTATTATCGCGTGCAACTCCCGATATCCGTTGCAAGTATCGTCAGGGAACGGAATACCCGGCAGCAGTTTCCATGAAACCTTATGAGGTCGCTTCCATTTGCCAGTCACATCGCGAGGTACCGCGACCACCATTACGCGTTAATGCACTGTGTACTTTTTCTCGAAAACCGCCGGCCAATTACGTGCACGGATGTAAGCGTAAGAAAATCTGCACGGCTCGTAAAGAAAAATGCAATTACGAAAGCTGCAAAACGCTCGCTTGAAACGCTCGTATCTCATAATCACGCGATACGATTCTATCCCGCGCAATTATTCGGGCTTACACCGAGCGCCAGTGAGTCGACCTATTGTCGGTGCGATTCAACGCAATCGATATGATAAACAGAAAACGTGGAAAGTTCAAACCGAGACGTGAATTGATGGAATTACGAGGGACCGACGCTGTCACTTAGCACGCAATTAATAGTAGCGCATGCATCAGTCTACTGTTGCGGATTAGCTATTAGCTGCGTCGTTTGTGTGACGGAGTAAAAAAAAAATGTTCGCTCCCACGATAACAAGATCCACTTGTGTTGAAAAAGCGCGACGCACAATTTTTCATTTCGACTAATCCGTCATCTACGCGAATGTGCGAAATGATATTTCGATGTTGCGCCGGAGATAAACTGTTTGCGAAATAACTGCGTAACACACTCCACGTACGTACGAGAGTCAGCAAGTTTCAATTTATTATTTAATTTTCTACCGTAAAATAAATTTCTCTTTGTGACCGAAATTCATGGTACATCGCTAGCGGATGTATTCGCGTGATTAACTCGATCTCTTTTACGTAACAATCCTGCTATTTTGTACTGCAAAAGCGGATCTCGGTTTTTAGTAATTCTATAAAATAAATAACCCATCGAATAACAATCGAGTGCGTATTTTCGATCCATATACAGCCGCCGAGAATCGTAATTACGGTAGCGAACGCGTATAGATGGATACGTATCGGGTGCGCGATTTGAATAACAATCCACGTATGGACAGTCGTCAAACGTATATTTCAAATGTATCGCGATATGTACAATACAGATATGTGTACGAAACATATGTGCGATGTTCTTAAAACATGAAATTTGCTCATTACGCGAGGTTTCTGTCAATGTGTCATAAGCGTTGGATTACCTTCCTTTTCATCTGTATTTTTTCCCTCTATTTGCACCAGTTGTGATTATAAACTTTAATTGCGTCTGCGAATTGCGCATTTAAAAAGTGACATTTTTTTAAACGTAACTGCTCGGAAAAGTTAAATGTATGTACATCCTCAGAAAGGATTTTCTGTTACCGAGACAAAAGATATTCTTGACGCATTTATATTTCTCACAATCTCATTTAGTATAAAAAGAAGACAATATCAAAATGAAATCAATAATTCTTATTCTCCTCTATCGAATTAAAAAAGATTGACTTACTATATTGAGACAGGAGTAACTTATATAAATCTAAGTTTATATATTCTTGCGTTTAGAACAAATTTTCCCCCCGTCTTACGACGCACCAAGTTGGCACCGCAATAGTCGACAAAAGACGATGTGTATTATCATTTTATTCTAGATTTTAGAATTTTTCATTTAAGAGTGAAATATTCCTTTCTCTATAACAAATATGATTGTCGATCCTATTTTATGATACGTTGAAGTGTAATAGCATTGGATCCGAAAATTTTTTTCTGGTGGTGTAGCTTATATTTGTATTAAACCAGCTTTTTCAAAGTAATCTTTCTTTTGGGGATTTGCTTTTTGGGGAATTTCTGTTATCCAGGTTAATATTTTCGCAAATATCAATTTGTCTATGAGGGAGAAACGCTCGAGGCTTTAAGTGTGTGCTTGGGGAATTGTACAAGAGGGTGACGAGCATCAATACACTCCTACATCCGGCTATCCCTTTGGAGCGTACGCAAATATTGCGATTCGTGGCTAACGTGAATTGAGTAAGCCGCGGTAAATGCAATGAGCTGCAAAACACCGAGAGCAATATCTGGGATCGATTCGCGGTCGACGTTAATGTTTCTATGCACCAGCTAACCGAGAAAGATGCGGTTCGGAGAAGAGAGAAAGATAGATGGCGAGAACGAGAGGGGGAGAGAGAGAGAGGGAGATTCGTCGTACTTAATGGTCCGTGCAGTTATTCCACGTACTTGAACGCGTTTTTAGATCATTTGCGGGGGTGGGAAATAAACCCTTGGCAAGTTGGTTCGTTCCTTTATATGCGTCTACGGGCGGCGCGCCACGAGATACGGGATTTTCTCGTTTGAAGCGACTGAAGCCGGTCATTCATCGGCTCAATCGGAGCATCGACGCGCTTCTTTCACGCTCGCGCTCGTTTCAGAAACGTGCTCGCGCTAATCGGGAATATTTTACGGGCCGTAATAGCCCCGAGTGCCCCAGGGAGATCCGCGGATTCTCTATTTATCACTTTTTATCCGGTCCGCAAGAGCGATATTTGTACCGCTGTAAAACGATGTCTAGGTCCGCGGAAACACTCGGGAGACTCGGGGAAACTTTGACGATCCATTCATCAACCTGCCGCCAGGTCCACTTCTACCGCTTTTGTTAATGAAGTAGCTCGAGCGAGTACTCGCTATAATAGACTTGGAAAACTTAGAATCCAGGGATAAATTTCCAAGTATTGCGATTAATAATCGCCGTGTGCATCTCTATAATCTCCCTGCGCTTTTACATCGTCGGTACCATCCATTTTCGCTCGCTATCCGGTTACTAAACATGTCAATCTAAAGTGACATTTTTCATCTCTGCCCCGCGGTTTAAACATACCAATAAATAAAAAAGGCTTTGAACCATCCAAGAGCGCGTTTATTTGGAAATATCGTTCTTTTGTTTCGACACGATGACTGTTTTGACATATGCGAACGACAGTTGATGTGAATGCAGGAAAACGATTTCACGCGGAAATAAAACTTTTATTACGTCTATTAATGTCGTGGAAAAAATATTCAGCTATCGCGTAGAATAGTGTATTACTCACGTTGCGATATAATGGATTACGCGGATTCATGCGAGCGAAATAATTTCCCAAATGCCGTACCAAACACTATAGATTCCCGCGTTATGGAAATTAGCAGATCAACTACAAGTTAAGCCCATTTTGCGCATATTTACTTTTTATCGCTCTATCCCTCTATCTAGAGGGCAGTCCCCTATTATAAGACAGCAGGTTTCCGCTAAATTAATAGGCACCGTCTGTAGGTTCCATCGTGAATTTATTGCCCTTGGAGTGAAACCTGTTTGGTGGAAACTTCATTGTTGGATCGTGTAATCGTTGCGAAAAAAGATTTGCGATTGAATTTGGACGTTGAAAAACCTGCTACACCCAGGAAAAAGTTTCTTCGAATCAAAGTTCCTTTAAATTTTGACCTTACTAAACTTTTACTTAATTCCAAAGGAATGATTTCTTTACCTGCACCAACATTTTATTTGATCCAGACTGAAATTTCTATAGAGAATTCACATCGTCTAATCTAGAAAGTGTTTTAATAGAAATCAATACAAATTCAGTAGATTCAAAGAAACATGATTTCAACCTAACTAAATCTTTCGTCTGGGTATATGCACCCACAGAAGAAATTTCCGGATCCAATGCTATCACACTTGAATGTATCATAAAATAGGATCGATATAGCGCCAATCATATTTATTATAGAGAAAGGAATATTTGAATCGCAAGTGAAAAATTCAAAAATCTAGAATAAAATTATAGTATGTATCGTCTTTTGTCGAATATCGTGGTGCCAACTTCGTGAGTTTTAAGATGGAGGGAAAATTTATTCTAAACGCGAGACTACACACTAAAATTTATACAAGTTACTCTTGTCTCAATATAGTACGTCAATCTTTTTTTAATTCGATAGAGGAGAATAAGAAATTATCGTACATCTAGAGGGAAGTCTCCTATTATGAGATATCAGGTTTCCGCTAAAATAATAGGGATCGTCTGTAGGCTCCATCGTGAATTTATTGCCCCTGGAGTGAAACCTGTTTGGTGGAAACTTCATTGTTGAATCGTGTAAAGAATTGTTGATTTTATTTTGACATTGTCTTATTTTAATACTAAATGAGGCTGTGAGAAATACAAACGCGCCAAGAATATTTTTGTCTCGATAACAGAAATCCTGTCAGAGGGTGTGTGTATCTCATCTCAGAAGCCTGTCTCGCGATAGACGACTTTCCTCTATAATCACGCCCAGACTAATTAATCCTTCTCACACTTCGTCACGGGAATCGGGATACAGTTGGAAAACTAATATTTGTCTTTGGGAATAAATAAACGGAGTCAGAAGACTACCGTGAACCTTATAAGATTCGCAAAATCGTACTAGTTTGCTTATCCCCGTAGTCGTCGCAGCTTATTTGCTTATTTACTTATTTACCGCTGCTTACGGCGCGGTACGATAAATATATGAAATTTCCTGAAGAAAGCCACTTCAGCTCGCAATTCAAAAGTTATCGGGGAAACAGATGAACGAAATAAAACTTGCCGAGTGACACTTAATTTCTCTTCCTCGGCACCGAAGAAAAATTGAGGTCTTGCGGCGCCGACTGCTACGTATTCACCTCGCTTCTTGTTTTATGCGGAAATAGAACGTGCGCGACGGCCGTATCGTTTTTCCCGTACATTCACATTTTAATTATTACTAATATTAGTCGGTGAAATGCAAAATGCAAATCAGCCGACACCGCCTCTCGGTCGTCTATGAAAACTGTATAATCCCCAGGATCGGGTCTGGGATTGTCGCGCGCGCGCGCGAGAGAGAGAGAACATTTACAACGTTACGTAAATGAAAATGAAGAATTCCGCAACGTTAACAGCGCATTTTCCTATCTCCCTTTTCCGCCTCTTTCCCGCTGCACCAGAAAACTGTCCGCTATATAATAACGCGCGTCATCGGTCTTCCACTTTGTACCTAAACGCATTAAATTTGTTAAACTTGCAGTGTCGTTTTACGGGGCGAGCTACATCCATCTTCCGGTTCAAGAGGCCAAGGGTGCCACTGACATCAGTTTCCGGTTCCGAACTCATCTCGCCGATGCTATGCTGCTATTGGCTGCTGGCAAGACGGATTACTGCCTGATCAAACTCGAAGCCGGCAGATTGAAGGTTCGTTTGCCCCTGGCGCTTACTTCTATTAATAGGCTTTCTGTTTGGTCCCGGTCGCCTCGTCGTCGTTAACGGGCCGCACGTGCTGCGATACTGCCTGTCAGACTTCTCTTTCCTCCCTCTTGTCCTTGCGGAGAAATTAGACGCGCCGTGACAGGCTAAAAAAAAAAGGTCGAGTCTTGCGCACGCTAAAATATTCTCTCGTGGGGCATCGAGAAGAGAGGAGGATTCACCGCGCGTCTAACATTTGCGCGCGTGTCCACGGCTCTTATTACTTGAGGATCTTTCTTATTTCTTGGCGAAAGAGATGGCACGGTTCCAACGACCTGGCGAAGGGTATTGCATCCGGGATAAGATCCTAATCATCGCAATGTGGCGAATTTCGCGGTCCGCGTAGTCGACGCACGTGATGTCGCGCAAGTAGTAATCTTAATTCTCGGCCCGTAATATTGAGTGTTACTTCTGAGCACTTATCTACGTTTAATCTTAATTAAATTTTTAATTCATCTCACTTATTTAATATCGCGAACATACCATTTTCTTTTGGTGCCAAGAATATAAATTAACATGTCAGCGTGCCTTAATTTCTTCCCCCTTAACTGATACCGCGATCTCTCAGATTGTCGTTAGACAACGTTTTACATTTGTTGAATATTACGCTTACATTTATCGTTGATTTTACATTTGATATCAATTTTAATGGCCAGAGCGTGTGCCTCACATATGTGATGTACTTTAAGAACTATTTAGCGTAATATATACATAGTCAATTCACTCCAAAAACTTTAGAGAGATCCTATCCTCATAACCTACTCTGTCTGATCGCATCTCGTCATCCTATTCGCTGCCTAATCCTCTTTCTATCTTTATTTGTTTCCTTTCTATCTTGTGTTTGCATCTCCTTCTTCTCCTCCGCTTTTCAGTTTTTTCCCCCCATAATTTCCAAAGTACTTTACCCTTTTCTCTAGTTCGTCATTCCGTGTATCCTGTTTAGTATTTCTCTATTATTCTTCCCCAATTCTCTAAACCGTTCCTCAGTTATTTCCTCAACAAAGTGACTTGTACAATTTTTGCCTTTTCCGCAGAAGACACATAGCCCTTTCGCTTCCTCTATCCAATATTTATTCGCCTTCTCTTCGTAGCTAGACAGAAATATTAAAAAGGGAAGCGCGCACGTTGTCATTAAGAGAAAGAGAGGTGGAAGGTAAAAGAGCAGGTTCTACACCGAAGGACAAGGAAAATGGAGGGATGGAACAAAGGCGGTGATCTGTGAGACCGCTACATACTAGTTAAGGGTTAATAAAAGAAGGCAGCGACGACGTTAAGCGCGATTAAACGTGAGACAAGAGTTAAGAATAGGACAGTATACTTTTGCCCCATACAGCATCGAGAGCCACAACGCCCAGCGTTTCTTCGTTCGAAATTTCAACCCGTTTTACAAAACCGCTTCCGTATTGTTTAACGACGTGCGGGGGGGAAAAAGTTTTCCATAAAAAAAATTATAAAACCGCAAAGTGGTATCGACACGCGAGATACAACGCCACTTGTTTTCCCCACGCCGGTGTCGAAGTCTCTCTCACAATATCTTACTCCGATATAAATACCTCGCGTGTGTACACGCGTACAGGCCGGAGCCTTATGTGTAAAGGACCGGAGCGTGTGTGCCGCGGAGAAAGAATCCAATAAATTGATTCGCCACAGGCGAGATACGGGCAAACCAGCCGCCAAATTCAATCGCATGTAGATTTCGATATCGCGGAATATCGCATTTCGGCCGGTGGCAATTGTGCCTCGATCGCGCGGAGTTTAAACCCGCCGCCACCTCCGTGTCTAACCGGCCGACGAGTCGATCGCGATCGACACACGGGGGAGAAGTGTTTCACGATAAATTCATACGCGTTTTTTCGCCCCCGTTTCGTCGCGCGAGTATCTCGCAGCGGGGCTGACGAGCGGGCTGCCGGTGGAACGCCCTTGTTATTTCGTTAAAGGATCGACTGCCTCCCTTCTAATGGCTTGATGACGCAGCGCGCGTCAACATCGACGCCGCGGTCGCTCCGCAAACGCGTTCAATAGCACAAACCGCATAATGTCTTTTCCATCGATGTTTCGCGAAATGAAATCGCGGCGACACCGCGCGAGGGCGGAGGCCGACTCCTCTTTTTTCCTCGCTAGATTTTTTTTTATTGCGCGTCGATACGCGACGCGACGAGATGCTTACGGCTCCAGGCGGGGGTTGAAACGTCGCGCTCGTTTTTTGTGCATCGGTCAAATTTTCGCGCGATCGGTCAGAATCCGTCTGCCGCGAGACCAAGTCACTCGGCCGGATTTTACGCGATAATGAACCCCGCGAATGATCGAACGAGTTCTTTTTTTCCGGCCCGGCGGAAAAAATAGAGGATACGGGGCACGCGAGAGTTACGCGCAAACGCAGCGACGCGGCACTCGCCCCCGTATCCCAGGAGACGAATAGCTCGCATTAAAAATTACTCTCGAAGAAATAATTCACTCGTTGAAAGCGAGTCTCGCGCTGCTTTACACGCAGTAATTAAAACGGCACGGTGTACGCAATGCATATGAAATGAACGGAAAAGACTCACTCTCGCGTTCGGCAACCAGAGAAGCCATCGATGCGAAATAAAGTGGGAGGAAATTTACCATATTCCTTCGAGGATTTTAATAAGTGGCGCGTCTTAGTGTCCACCTCCCCGAAGATACACCCCTACGCGGAGGGAATTTTCTCTTAAAATTTACCCTGAAACCCGTGTAATCGTGGGGATAACTTGGCATTTTGGAAAACTTGATGAAGTAGTACCAGTAAAATGTATGGTGAAATTTCAGAAAACTCTCATAAAGTTTTTCAAAATGCCATTTTGTCCCACGATTACACGAGTTTCGGGGTAAATTTTAAGAGAAAATTGGCGTTTTGAAGAACTTTGTAAGTTTTCTAACATTTTACCAGTAAAATGTATGGTAACTTTTCAGAAAACAGAACTTTATGAGTGTTTTCTGAAATTTTACCAGTAAAATGTATGGTAGAATTTCAGAAGACTCTCATAAAGTTCCGTTTTCTGAAAGTCTTTGGAAATGTTGCCGTACATTTTACTGGTAAAATTTCAGAAAACTCATAAAGTTCTTCAAAACGCCACGTTGTCGCACATTTACATGATTTTCGGGATGATTTCACGGTCCGAAAAATCATGGTCGATATCGATTTGATCATCGACTTGTGAACCTGGGCTACCTCCTCCCCGAAGACGCATCCCCCATTTATTGCTACGGATCTACATTTCCGCGTTGCCGGATCACAGGTGTGACAATGCGTCGCGAGTATCGCGTTACGACAAAATTCCAATTTCGCATCTCGTTCGTTAGTGTCAGAAGTGGAAATTCCGATTGAATGTACATACCCCGGGACGCGAACTTTCGTGATCGATATCTGCGTTATTACGGACGACCGTCAAGATTGCTATGCAGGCGGCGGAGATGAACACGAGCTGCGCCCCGTAATGCACGAAACACGTATGTAACGGAGCGGTATGGCGCGCCTATAAACAAGTTTCACGGGCCATAATGAGAAGAAGGCTGACAGAGCTGATAGAGCTCTCGCGCGGTAGCCATCCTGTCTCTTGATAATAACCGCTGATGAGAGCCGCGCGCTGCTTCTAATTATGTACAAAGAACGTTGCGCTGAAACGAAGTTACAACTTCGCCGCAGATTATTAATTTTCCAGCGATTAATATTCTCGTGCGTACTCTCATATTTTACATGACTCATTATCGCCCTCTTCCCCGTCTCCCGCCCCCTCCCCGCCCCCCTCCTCCACCTCCCCCCGCCCCCTCCCCTCGAATGAAACGTGCTCGGCACCCTAACTCTCGCGAGCTGACACTCGCAGTTGCGACAAGTACGCGAGCGCGAGCGTCGAATATTATTTTGCTGACGAAAGCAATTAGGATAATCGGTTTCCGCTGCGACCGCGTACAACGATTATCCCGGGGGCGCTCTTTCGCATTTCAATCGCGGCATTTGTATCGACGTATCGATCCTCGTATCGATGTGTCGATCTTGGTATCGATGTACCGATCTTTGTAGCGATGTATCGAATTTGTATCGAATTTGTATCGATCTCTCGTAACGTCAGCCGCGCGATTTTCCAACTTTCTCGTCGCTAAGACTCCTTAACCTTGAGCCGCTGCTCGGTGCGCTGCCCGATGTATCGTAGTATCAAAATACTCTCTGCTTTAAGTGCATTAGCTGTGTGGAGGTGCGGTGTCCCGATTACGCGCACGAATCCCGGCGTGAAAACCACGCGAATCTAATTTCGCGAAGGGTTAAGTCCGTGCAGCGCAAAGAAGCTGCTCGCCGTCGGGGCTTAATTAAATTTGTTAAGAAGATCGTTAAGAAGGATGAAGACAGGATAAACGGCCGGGGCAAAAAGTGCAACGGCAGTTCTGGGGTCTCGTGTGCCTCCTCCGACCGACGCCTCCGCCTCCGGAGAGGCTTAAAAGCCCCTCTATCCGAGGCGATAATCCGATGATTCAGAACTTAATTGCGGCGATATATCGCGGTATCGCTCGCCTTCCGGCTGATGACGTAGCCGAGTCTTCATTCTCCATGCAGTTTCAGAATTTAAAAAGCTTGCCCTTTTCTTCCACGCCAGTTAACTGGGTTTAAGTCACATAGGGGAACCTGGGGCATAACGGAACGGCGGGGCATAATGGGATATGATCTATAACTTTTTACAGAAGTGCTGATATGTATTGAAATATTTTGCAATTATTGCTATTAGATGATCCTTATCGCATGCTGTTATCAGTTGTCATGTTATTTTTAACTGAAAAATGCTATAAATTTTTTAATGCGTTCGCTGCACTCTCCGTGACTCGCTTATAATTTCGTTGATAGATCAGCATGAGGTAACAATGATAAAATTCTGTTTTTTATTACCATAAGTAATTTTACGCTATTAAACAATCTTTTCTAGTCACTTTAGTCAAGTATT